ATATTTATCTTCAAATAAACTGCAGAAATGCATCGAATGTGTTCTTTAGCTTAAAAAAACCTCCCTTGTATGAAAAAGCGGGCATGTTAAGATGAAAAGCACGTTGTCAAACGACATAGAAATGAGAAATTTCATGACAGCGTTTGAGAAGCTGGCGTCAGATTTATTAAGCTTCGTCCACTACGCAAGATGAAACAAAATAAAACTAGGAAGACTTCTTCGTAATTTCTTGATATATATGGACAATGAAGACAACAGCCATGTTAATCATATACATTCATATATATAATATAATTGTTTTTTTTTCAAATATATTACCATGTTTCAAAATTGTAATTTCAATTCAAATTCAATTATAAAAATTAAACTTAAAATACCAAATTCCGTTCCTTTATCAGCCGATGATAAGGATAACTTTTTAGAAATTGATTTACTTTATTTATAAGTCCAGAAAAACTTGATATTGTAATTGAAATTTATATAAAAATAAAAATTAAATAAAAAAGATTTTAAATAAAAATGCCGAATGTATTTCTACTGAAACCCAGAAGTTATGTTGCACAAACCCCACCTTTACTTGACCGAATTGATAGCTACAATGCAATAGATACATGAGTTTTTCTAAATAAGTTAAATCTTAACACCCTAAAAAAAAAAAAAAAAATTGTATTTTCCTTAACTCAATCTCTCTCTCTCTCTCTCTATATATATATATATATATATATATATATATATATATATATATATATATATATAATGTGTGTGTGTGCGTAACGGAGTCTTGAAAATTGTAGGATCCATTAAAAAAAAAAAAAAAAAACATGTCTTCTAATGGTTGTTGAAGTAAGTGTTGGGTATATGGAAGATAATATACATTTGATGGCTTTACATCATAATTCCAGATCAGGACTACCTTTTGTCTAATATATACTTACACACACCTATACGGCTTTGTATACAGGGAGACAGAAATTTTTATCTGTGTGCATAAATATATTTCGGATTTTTTATTTTTTTATTTTTTATTTTTTTTGCGATGATCTGTGAAACTTTAATGTCTATCGATCGAAACAAAAGAACATAAATACAGTGTGTGCGTGTGTCAAAAATACCTCCTAAAGGAAGACTCAATTGCAGCTAATGTCTTGCTTTTATGTGGGGGTTATTTCTGCCGCACCTTGTATAACGCAATATATCTCGATTGATATGAGCATAGATTTGAAATCTTGGTATAGTTTTATATCCATCTGATTAAATATTTTGAGAAGGCACGGTGGAGTAATGGATAGCGGCTTGGATTGAGGAATCGGAGAGCCGAGTTCGAATTACAGTGACTTGCGTGATAATACCCTTGGGAAAGGTATTAATCCTCTTCTTGTCCCAGCACTGTGGGTAAGTAGCATGACAGACCGGGTTCTCTAGCCTTGAATGGCAACTGGTATACCACAGAAAGAAATGGCAACCTACTTCGGAAATAAATCTGTCTCGTCAGTCATGTATCGAAAGATGCATGATCGCCTAAGCGTGTATAACTTATAGCAGATAACTGACTGAATATATTTTGAATAGGTTAGTCCATCTAAACGATAATATGACATCTCATTTTCTAACCACTCCCTCCAATCAGTAAATAATAGCCGTTGGTATTCACTTATCGTTCCCTTCATACGCCCGGTGCTAGGAAAAAGCATTGTATGTTTCCCTTTGGGGCGACCTTAACTGTACACTGGGTCAAGAATAAAAACTGCCCAATTCATGTGACCGCAATTAGGCTGGCTATCGCAAACTTCCAAACTTCAATCGTTAGGAAGTTGCTGTTGCCGTGTTGAAATCTCTCTAATAGGGCGCATCTAATCGCAGAAAGCAAAAACGGTGCAAATGCCTTAAACTGTAGTGCAAAAGCGCGGCAGCGTATTAAAACATATACTACACTTTTGATTCAGCCCCAAGAACGTGCAATTGGTTTCGGTATCTATCGATATCTTACAACTGTAGGACGATATTGTAAATAGTTACCAAATTCCCCATGGTGGCAGTATGTCACACACAATCTTTTTAATGTCCATTACCGTTCATACTGACAAAAATTCCAATCCCTCTGACCACTGTCAGGCTGGTGTCACTATCAACTTAACCCTCTGCATTTAGTACCACCAAGAAGTTGCAGCTGCAAGGTTGGAATCCTTAAAACTTAAAGAGGAAGAGAAAACTTTGATCCCAGCCCGAAAGCCAGAAAAGAGGTTATTATTTGCCTACAGGGAAAAATGTTCGATTTAACGACTTTCCTCTTTTTATATAATGTAGGAGGTGCTTCTGGCAGCATTGGAATTCCTGGAGCTATGCCTCCTTAATAAACGGCATACACAAGTATACAAATGCCGAATAGAAAAGCACTGTTTGGGTGAATCAAAACAGTTCATTTTTGATGGAAACCCCAGTCATTGTTTTTTTCGTTCTGTTCTCTTTGTATGGTTGTTCACTAAAATGATTTTCTAAGCACAGCTTAGATGTGGCAACAAGTGAGGATTGAACTCGCTACTCAGTTGTAATGGTTCTAGTGAAACAAGGTGGCTTATCATTGCATCACACCGTGTGTTCACTCAATGCAACGCTAAAGAAACATTCGAAATAAGTTACTGAATGAGGTGTGTACTATGCATTTAAGAGGACTGATTAATTTGTTTTGTTTTTTTTAAAGAATTAACTACCTTTTTAGGTTATTTAAAGCCAGAAAAATAGATGTAAGACATTTTTGAAGATAATGATTTACTGTTACAAGTCATACTAATTAATTCAAAGATGTGGGGATGATAGGTGGATTCGTACATTTCTTAGGGGTATTTACGCGTAAGTGAATATAACAATTCAGGCTAGAATCAGAACTACACTCTACGACTTGATATTTCAATCAGTTTTCCATTACACCACCTGCACATCCAACCTTACAGATAAGAGGAGGAAGAGAAAAGTGAAAATTATGAGAATATGGAATATTTGATCCTTGACTTGAAGAGGTTAAAGCAGTTTTTACGGAAGAATCCGCGTGTTACTTGGGAAATGATTTTTTGGGGAAAATGTCCGCCTCAGAATTGGAATACGGCGTTTTCGGAACCTTGGTTTGATGCTTACTTCATCTGCAATAATTTCTATTTATTCACAGCTGTTTATGCTACAGAAAATCAGAAGTGATATTTCGTTGACATTTATTTTATTTTTATTTCTCATGGCTTGTCCATGTATAAACCTTATTAGAAACTTATTGCAGATTATTTTACTATTCTTGGAAGATCAAACTCGGAAGGACCTTTCCTTATTCTTTTGTCAAAATACCCTTTAATGAGAATCACGAACCATCTCTTCGATTTATAAAATCCTTAAATATCCTGCAGTTGCTTTCGTCTTAAGCACTGTTAAAGTTTCCTTCACTCTAACTGTAGCTTATAATGAAGGCATTGATCTCCATGATTTTTGAGAATGTTATTAAGGATGATTTTGAAAGATGAAAAGTCCAGGCAATATGAACTCGCCAATGCATTTACATATTATGTCGAAATAATGTGTTCGCTTTCGTAACATTAAAGACATCCTTGTATAGGATTAATAATAAAAGAGAAATAAATGCACAGCAGAAGAATAACAAAGGTGGCACCAATAAAATATATTTATAGAAAGAGAACACTAGTAATACCAATTTAAACATTTTTTTTTATGAATGTCGAGTAAGTTTAGCGGATATTTCCGGTGCTTGAAACATGGAGTTCTCTGAAAAATAATAAGATGCGTAGAATTAAAACATAAGCTGTCATAGTTTGATTTTCGACCGGAAAAAAATGGTTGGTGTAGTGCGTTGCGCTAGTTAATGTGTCATGTCGTAGATCCCGAGTGCTTTTCATTTATATATCGTGCTCTTTCAGAAAGTGAACGCCCATGGTTCATAACTTCCTTTCCTGAGCACTGAATAACGTTTGTTCCATTGCTATCGTTCCTTGTCTTCTGCTAAGCATTTACACACTTTCACACTGCCTCTTTTCTTCACTTTTTCCTGTAAGTGTTAAATTCTTCAGGCTCTCATTCTTTCTCAAGTACATGCCGCAGAGATTTAAAATGTGATTTTATCTTTTTCCTTGCCAATCTTCTAAATTCTCTCGTTGCACACATGTCACATCAATGTATTCACAACATCCTTCTGTAGAGCCACGCATCTGTTGCCTCAAGTCTCTAATTTCATGCAGGAGGATAGATATTATAATATTTCAGCACTCTATTCTAACGATTTGTTTCAGTTTGCTGGTATCATGACCGCCATCTTCAATTGCATACTGTAGATTTTATAGTTTCATTTAAAAACAAATAAATGTTGTTGTGTGCAAGTTTCATAGCTTTGAAAATTCTTGTCAGGGTTTAATGAATGTATTTCTTCGTACAAAAATGGTCAATATATGTACTAATATAGCGTTTATACAAAATCCAGTTGAAATGATTCGTTTTCCAAAGAATGTTTATGTAAGCCTCTACTATTGAGTGACCTCGTTGAATTCTTATTTAGGATTTAGAGCACTGTAGTGTAAAAGGCCATGAGCTTAATTAGAACCCCTACATCGTCAAGCAACAATCACTTCAGAAATCTTGATCCGTTAAGATTCAGGTATTTGAGTTAACATTTTCAGACTTTAATCTTTTATTTCACTAATTCATTTTAGCAGCCTTTTCACTTTTAAAGTGGGATTAATTACTATTTACTTGAACAAAATAAGAATCGTTAACACCTGACGAAAGAAATCGGCTGGCAAATTACTGGAGTTGAATGCGTTTAAATTTTTGGCGGTTTTGTTTAGTAATATAATCAACTTCTGTCATTTAATGCCAAAATGTAAATAATTTGCATGCATTTTTTTAAAATTATTTTTAGTAATAAAAGTTTTAATAATAAACCCATCGCTGGGGAAGAAGAGGTGGATTCATACCTTCCCCAAGGTGATTTGTGCGTAAGCTTACTGAATCTGGTGGTCCCAAACAGTCACCCATCTAAGTACTAACCAAGTGAGACGTTCCTTAACTTCGGTGATTGTACGAAATCCGGAGTTTCAGCGTGATGTGACCGTAAGCCAACGCGTTGAAAGGTGAGCAGATTTTGTAAACAAAGTCGGCAATATTGAAAAAATAGTCGAACTATATTCTTTAGCGTATGCTGACGAGCCGTCCTTCCGGAAATTAACGATCGAAGTTAAGTCTCTTGAATGTTCATTTGTTAATCACTACAACATTTATAAATAGAGTCGGCGTTTCAATGGAAGGTTAACAAATGAATAATCATATTCAAAAATGATAGCAATGTGATTCTTATAAACCTAAATGTTGGGCTAGATTCTATCGTCAATTTATTGGCCATGAATGAAATGCCAATGAAATGGTGAAGTTCGAATGAAGAATTAATTACCGGTGAAACTGGAATTAGCATTACATATATCGACAGATGAATTTACATGGCGGACGTTTTGAAAATTCAGTTACAGAAGCCGCGAGCTAATCTAGACAAGAATTCACACTTCCCTTTCTAGTTCTCTTCTATTGGAAAGTTTAATAAATATGTGAATTCAAATGTAACCTTATTTTCTACTTGTCGACAAATTTGGTAATGCATGTGTATTTACTTTTTATACTGTTTAAATATATATATTTCCTTTATGATTTAAAAAGTTTTATGCTAGATTTCCTTCCATTTATTTCTTAACGCAATTTTGAGTACATATTCAGTTGTATGGAGGATTTTATTTGCAGTATTCTTTTATGTTTATTGTATAAACCGAAAGCCCATATTTCATTTGATCCATGTGTGCTATTCAAATTTCCCCGGACTTTTAGTTTCATCTTTCAGCCAAGAGGAACAGAGCAATGAGATCAGATGTATGGACGCTCTCCCTAACGACTGAACTATCGAGCAATAACGTGTCGTAGTATGCATTCTGCGGGCAGAAGAAGTCAAACTCGCGGAAATGCATCGGCGGATGTTGGAGCGATATGGAGCACGCACTACGAATCAACGAAAGGTGTACTAGAGGGCAGAATGCTTTAAAACGAGAAAAAGAAAGAAAGAAAGCCGACACGCTCGTCCATGAATAGAACAATTCCAGAGTGGGGATGCCTTGATGACGGAAGATCATGAATCATGGAGCATAAATGTCGGCAATCGTCGGCATCAGTTATTGTAATCATGCACGTTGGTTCGTGCACGATTATTTTGGATGCCGTAACATTTGGGTGTCCATACAAGGAAGTGTTGCCTTCGTGACTTCGTGATCAACTTTACGGTAGGGATGATAAAGCTGGTCGAAAGATGCCATAAGTGTATCACCGTGCAGGGAGACTATGCCGATAACTGTTATATGCATTTGTCTTTCGTCAATGAAAGTAAAGGCGTTGTATTGAAATTGGATTTACTTTTCGACTTTATTCTCGTATATAAACGCTTATGTCCCCCCACACACATGTATAATAATACCTAACCACTCATATTCTAGCATACCCGTCTATTAGGGCGGATAACCAATCGCTATCGCAGACACTAGCTCACACATATATATACACACACACACACACACACACACACATATATATATATATATATAGTAAATGTAATAAATCCGTTGGTATATAATCGAAGTGTATCCTAGTAATCTCTATCTATAAAAGGCAGGATGTGTGTGTAACGAATGCACAGCCGCAATTTTCGACGGATTTGCACCAAAATTTACATGCACATGCTCCAAGTTAGTGGGAAGGCCAAGACCGACTTTGCATTTCCCAACTCCCATCGATAGTGGAAATATTTGATTTTTTCATGCTTCTACGGCAGTTTTCATGTAGTTTGCGGCCATTTTCTACTGGCCAGAGTGAGAGCTTATAGCTGTTTGCCACGAATAGGCAGGAATATTCTATTGGCCAGCGTGAGAGCCAACAGCTGACTGACACGAATGTTAATTAGCATGCTAGCATGCAAAAAAAAATCGATAGCTGCATTCGTCACAAGTGGGAAAAATTTAAATCTGCGTGGCACTTTACTCCAATTGGCTCATTCGCTTGCTTAAACTCAACCTTGATTCTGATTCCGCAGAATTGGGTTGGGTGTGAAAAAATATTTGTTGTTGAATTTTTTTTTCATTCGGTTTTTCCAGTTACGAGTCCTTTTTTTAAAAGCTGATCGTTTTGTGTACATTTTGTTTAGTTCTTTTTTTCGTAACAGATTTAATGTTTACTATAGATCTTAGAAAAAATTCGCAGTATGAGATAGGCAAGAAGTAAGGCATGTAGCAACATCAGCACAGCAAAGAGCACTCCTTTAAAGGCAAGGAAGGGCAAAAATATTTTAAGTCAAGTGATAGCGATTGCTGTATGAGTCGTACGATTTTTGAATTAAGCACGGGCAACGCCGGGCCATGCTGCTAGTATAAAATATTAAAACTAATCCACAAAAAGAGCTCAATGTATTTATTATAACATTGCCAATAAATAGTATTGCACAGCATAATCTAAAATTACCTCATATGCGGTTTAGGTCTATTTCAACCGACGAAAACTTCGTCAGTCTTATTCAACTCTGGTATATAGACTGAGTTCGTGTCGGAATTAGAAATTTAACTGTGACATATAACCCCAATTTAATGTCAAATGGTTAATATCCTGGTCTAATTTTATAAAACCTCTTCCTGTTTAGACTAATACTTTCTACCCTTTCCTGACCACCGTTTCATGCCTTTCGTTTGACATTGAAATGGATAAATTCTGTATATCTTTTCGGCGGCTGTCACAGTTAAATTTCTTATTCCTACACGAACTCGGTCAATACACCGGAGTTGCATAAGGCTGACGAAGTTTTTGTCGGTTGAAATAGATCTTATATATATAACCGTAGAAAGAAGCATATCAAGGATTTGAAAGTAATTGTAATTTTGATTTTCACATTTATGCCTCTATCTCAATGGAATGCTGTAAAATTAATAGTGTGTGCTAAGGAAAATGCGGAATAGAATAAAGAAAAAAAGAATTTACATCGTAGTTGCTTCTTTTGTTGTGGTATTCGTTCTGACGCACTTAAGGCACTACCTGTGCTCTCACTTTTGTATTTTCAAAGAGAAAAACATAGCTAAAGAAACCTGACATATGTTCTGTTCCTCTTATTCATTTTTCTTGTCCCTTGTATTTTCCACTCGTATAAAAAGATATCTATTATCCATCTTAGAGACAGCAGGCTTTTAATGAATTTAAATGTCTTTTATTTTCAGAAGTTTGCTTTCAATGGAATGCATTTCCATTCCACTCTGTCCACACACGATAAGAACAATAACAATACTTTTTTTGGCTAATTTATAAATAGGCTTCATTGTTTTTCATATTGAATTCTTGTCAACATCTTTTTTTTTTTTTCACTCTCAGAAATGTTTCTGAATATTAATATTTTCCATTAGTAAATCTGTCGCATTTTTAACTGGCTATATGAAATTTACATAGAGCTTTTTCATCTTTCTTTTTGTATGCCTTCACCAAGATAAAACGCTTTATTTATTAAATGTTATAACGACGAATACGTAATTTGATGTACTGCTTTTATAGAAAAACATAATGGAATTTATCTCTTTCCAGAATGAGAAATAGTGATTATTTCATCATATTGTAAAGGATTTTGAGCGAAATGGGATTACTCTTGCAAAGTGAACAGCCCAATCTACAAATTAGCAATTGTAGATACCAAAATCAAATAAATTAGACAATATAAATATCTGGGGTAGAGTTTTACCATAGTAAAGGGAATACAACATTAAGATCCGAAGGCGTATTGAGATAAAGAAGATGCCTTCCAAAAGCTAAACAAATTATTAAAAAAAACAGCAAAGTTTCGTTAAAAATAAAGAAAAGTGTACTAAACTACGTAATGTCCTGATATGTGGTAGCCAATGTTAGACAATAGCCTCAAAGATGATGAGACATGAAGAAACAGAAATGTGCTTCTCCAGAAGGATGCTGAGAATACCATGGACCGAACAGAAAATAGTAAAAATGGAAACAAAATGAACGCTTATACTTAACATCAGGAAGACTGTTAAAATCTATAGCGCGCATAATGAAGAAAGTGGAATTGAAAAATTTAATACTTAGATTAACGACAAAGATAGAGGAAATAAGGCATAACCTACCTAGCGGCCATGAGTAAATGAGTGTCGGGACAAGGTTTAGGAAAGATAGCAAAAAGACAAAATTTATTAACAGCTAAAAGTACAGGAATTTAGGAGAGCCAATAATCGCGAACGCCCTGAAAGAACACAGCACATATAAGACAATGAAAAAAATCGTCACCCACAATCCTGTCGACCCTTCGATTTCCAGCTTTGATTTTCAGATCTTATTTTAGAAGATGAATTTTTAAAGAAAAAATAGAATTAGTTAAATTTTGTTGTGGTACTGACAAAATTAGTTCGGTTTTTATATGAAAACTATTTCTTATCTATTGCGCCTATTATCTAAAATGATGTGTAACTATGAAGCGGTATGCATTTCTATCGCGGAGTTATCTATAGCATCTGAAATTATGTAGAAGTACATTAAAATAAAACACAAGCTTCAAGAAATATTTATTCCATAATACTGGAATGAAACAATGTACGTTTGCCTATGAAAAAGACATGACATTCGTTAGCAGCACTTCTCGTGTATTTTTCGTTTTTGAAACTGATGTGGGGGCCAAAGTTGGTACCACAGAAGGAAAACACGGAACACGGATTAGATGTAAGAAAGACATATTAACAACAGGTTACAGAGATAGTGTAAGCGGAGCTTACTATAAGTTAGTGTCCAATACTGATAGTCGTACTAGACTCTCACTGTCCCTCTCTAGAGTGCTATGTCGCCTACTTAATATAGGCTTGGAAGAGTCTATTGTGTAGGTAGTTTCCGATCTCACAATAGAAACAAGTAAATACGACCTACACGATCGGCTGTAGAGAAACCCTGAACGTCACAGTCAACAAACCTGAGTATTATTCGAAAGGAAACGGAAAGTCTGAAAGGTGTGATTCCTCTAATTTGTCTTAACTATTATGAGCAATTTTTTTT